TGATCCGGAATACCCATTTTCCGGAGAGAATGGGTTTGTCTTGTGCGAGTGATGCAGGGACGATCTTCCAGGTGTTGCGGTATGAGAGCGCTTTTAACTCCTTTTCCATGGCTTCGCGCCATTTTTCTTTGTGTTCCCCCCCTAGAGCCTGCTTGACAGAGCGAGGCTCTTCAGGTGGCGACGAAGGCCCGTGCACTGCAGCGACGAGTCCCAGGACTTGGAGTCCGCTGGGGGTGTGACGATTCAACAAGGGGTCCTCGGGATAGACTGCTTCGTCTCCCGCTTCAGGATCAGGTGCGAATCCGGGGCCGTATCGTTCAGAGATGTCGGTGTTGACGGGTTGGGGTGTTACGTAACCATTGTCGGCGAAATGGTAGTAGGCGTCGGCATTGTTACTGTCGCGAGGGTTTTCCTCGTCCATGGGGATTGGGACGGAGCAGTAAGGAAGGGGTCCAGCAGCTTCGGAGGCGCCGTCGACGTTCTCTTCTTCCCAGTCAGCAGCATCGGAGGGTGAAGCGAAGGCTCGGGAACCAGAAAATCCGCCGGTGGGGTCGACGTGGCGTGCGATGTTGTCCAGGTAATGGTTGAGGATGAGTCGCTCGTAGAAGATAACGTCACGTGCTGCTACTGTTTCCTTTGTGTGGACGTCGAAGATTCGCCATGCTTCGTAATGTTTTGCCAGCCCGAGGTGTAGACCCCACTGTGCACGTTGCGAGAATCTCCCTGCGCGTGCAGTGTGTGGGCGGTACTGTACCATACACCCAAAAACTCGTAACATTTTTGTGTTGCCCAGCTTCCCAGTCCACAACAGGTGCGGAGATGCGTTGTTGGGCAGTGAAGACGAGGACAACAAGTTGTGCAGGAGGACAGCGTGGTCCATCGCTGTTGGCCATTCTGAGTTGGGCAGTCGAGTTCCACGTAGCAGCTTTCGCATTGTTGTCTGCAGGGTCCTGTTCATCCTTTCTGCCACACCCTGCTGTTGGTGAGCGTAAGGAAGAGAGATGAGGCGTTTGATGCCTCTTTCTGCCAAGAACTGTGTGAAGCTGTTTGACTGGTACTCCTTTGCGCCATCTGATTGAAAACTCTTCAGTTTCGCTCCTGACTCTCTTTCAGCGACAGGTAGCCAGGCTGTGAAGGCTTCTAGAGCCATGTCTCGTGACGGTAAGTTGACGTGCCAGACATATCGCGTTGCGGCGTCGATGAAGGTGATGACGTAGTTCAGATCTTCACGTCCTTCAGTTCGAGGTATGTATAGTATGTCGCTGTAGACTTTCTCGAGTGGTTGATAAGCGGGGGCGCTCGGATTGTGGTGTGACGGGAACAGTTGGTGAGGTAGATCTGCTTCCGGGCAGATGAAGCAGGTGCCGCGTGGTCGTTCGAGTTCACTTCCGTTGGGAAGAAGTAGGGCGTTCTTGTCCAACACTCCGGCTCGTATTGTATTGTAGAGTGTTGTGTTTCCAGGATGTCCAAGATGTTGATGCCAGATGTCTTCGGAGGCGCTGTGACCTACGGAGCGTCGATAGAAGTCTGCGTTAGCGAAGAAGGCGGCGTGTGTTGCTGCACTTCGATGAACGGCGCGTGGTGCTGGCGTTAACTGTTGGGCGGCTGTCGGTGGCGTGTCGATGATGAGAGGTGGAGGTGCGACGGAGGGACCGAGCTGTGGAGTTTCGGAAGGTTGTTCCGCGACGACGGCTGGTTCTTCAATTGCAGGTTCGGTGGTTGTTGGTGTTGTGACGGGTGCAGTTGTTGTTTCGATGACGGGTGCTGACTCAGGTGTTGTGGCTTGTGTTTGCAGGACGGCAAGCGCGTTGGTGCGTTCAGCTTCGGGAATGGTACGAGAGTACCAGAAGCCTTCAGGACTGAAGTTCGGGTCGAGGTCTGGCGGATGCGTCCAAGGTGCGAGAGCGACTATGCCGTCGCTGTCTGCGGTGCCTTTGTCGGGGACGAAGTCGAGGACGAACACGCCATCTTGTTGGATTGCACGGCCGATGAAGACCCCCCCTTTTCCGTGGTAAAGACGGATTTCCAGGGCGTCGGAGTCGCACTCCAGGTGAACGCCTTTCGACATGAGTTGGCTGACGCTCAGTAAGTTAAAGCCGAGGTTGTCGACGACGAGTACTTTGTTTAATTGAAGAATAACGTTTGTTTCGTTTGACTGAAGCTCCACGACTCCTTGTTTGTTGGTGCGCAGGTTTTCGTTGTTGGCGATGGTGATGATGACGTCTCGCGGAAGACGTCGTTCGCGCTGAAGAAATCGTGATGAAGAGCACATGTGATGACCGCAACAACTGTCGAGGAGCCATGTGTCTGGTCCGGTGGGTGCACGGTTCCGAAAGCTTCTTCAGATAAGTTTCCTCCGCAGCGAATGAGTCTGTCGCGTAGTCCTTGACAGCGACTGATGTAAGGCATGGCCTTTTCTCCAGGTTGCATTTGAACTGTTGTCAGTTGTGCCATGAGTCGGCTTTGCGTAACGCTGTCGGATGCTTGATGAATACTTCGCAGATGTTGATAAGCGAGTTCCGCGGAGTTTGCGTAGTTCCGGTAGGCGCGGATGCTTTGTTGTTCGTTCGGCGACAGGTTTCGGAGAAGAACGGTGTAAGCCATGAGGGAGTGATACGTATAATTTTCTTTGTCCTTGTCTTCGCCGTTGTGTGGATATGGCCAGGTACCGTTGAAGAAGCCAAGAAGATTCGCGCCTTCCATCAGGAGTTCAAACTCGAAGCTCCAAGAGTAGAAGTCCTTCCCGTTGAATGGTGTGGATGTGTGCAGTCGTAGGATGTTGTTGAACTGTGCTTGTACTTGCAGGACTTCTTCGGTGTCTCGTTTGATGGCGGGAAGAGGAGTCGCTAGATGGCGGGGCGGCATGAACGTGAAGGAACCAGGTGAGACCGAATTTGGTGTTTGTTGATTATGTCGTCCGAACGATGAGTTGTCAATACTCATTGGTGCCGCTCCGTTGTTTACGCTGTTGCTGTTTGCAGGTTGTGAGGACTGCTGCTGCGACATGAAGTTGAAGAACTCCTCCATTAAGCTTGGGTTGAAGATTGTTGGCGGCGCTACTGGTGCTTGAGTAGAGCGTTCCGTCGCTTCCGGCGTTAATCCGGGCGTTGTTCCTCCTTCGGTCTGCAACTCGGAGACCGGGGGTAGAGTAGATCCCGTAGATGATCTTCTTTCTTTGCCACTTGCCATGTCTTGCATTTCTTGAGTGAAGGTTGAACTTCTTGGTCGTTTGCAGATTGGTAGCCTGGAAGAGGCTTAGTGACGAGAGCCTTTGTTCTCTGACTGCTCTCATACCATGTTGGGCTGAGAATTTTAGCCTTAGGATCTTTGCAGAGAATAGGCTAGTAGGTGCTAGAGTAGCACAGCGGAAGTCTTGAGTGAATGTACTTGTGCTGGTATGTGAGAACAAGTAATTGATTAAAGCAAAGGGCATACAGGAATATATAGAAAGGATAGATTACAAGAAGCGGTTATGTTTATCGAGACGCGTAACGCTTCGACTATCGAGGTGGTTACTGTTCACTGAAGCGTCGCTTGCTGTTACGTAACCTCCAGGCGGTTACAGCTCGCAACATCCAGTTGCGGTTTGATGTGGTGCGCGCCTTTTCGACTTCGTACTCCTTTTGTTGTGCTTCAGTATCGGGTGAGGTTCGATACTACAGAAACGCACTAAGTCATGCGTTTATTTTCCCAACACATAGGAAGGCTCTTTTGTCGTCCTGTGTGCTTGTATCATGCTTCTTTTCTTCTGCAAGGTAGCATTTGCTTGTGTAATACCGTGCTTGAAATGGATGTTACAAATTCCAACATCAGCAGCAACCGCACTTATTGGTCGAAGCCAAGCTCAGCAATGCTGCTGCTGGTATCCGTTTCCCTGCTGGGCTGAGCTCACCTGGTTGGAACTACCGCATGGGTAGGTACGCAATCTACTGCCACGTCACCATTCCAAATCTTCCAGATTGAGTGACACACTCCATTCCACTGTGTGTGTGTGTGTGTGTGTGTGTGTGTGTGTGTGTGTGTGTGTGTGTGTGCATGTGTGTGTGTGTGTGTGTGTGTGTCTGTCTCTCTCTCTGTCTCTGTCTCTGTCTGTGTCTGTGTCTGTGCCTGTGTCTGTGTCTGTGTCTGTGTCTGTGTCTGTGTCTGTGTCTGTGTCTGTGTCTGTGTCTGTGTCTGTGCTTGTGTCTGTGTCTGTGTCTGTGTCTGTGCCTGTGTCTGTGTCTGTGTCTGTGTCTGTGTCTGTGTCTGTGTGTCTGTGTGGTGTCAGTGTGTGTGTCTGTGGTGCCTGTGTGACTGTGTGGGCAAAGCATGGAGTTGACAGCATTGCAGTGTCAAGCACACCATTACACTGCCTTTCACTGTGATGCACAGCATTACGGTACATTTCAGGTCGGTTGTGGAGAGACACACTTCCCATATGCCATCTAACAAATGGCGACAGACACTAATTGGGTGGCGGGGCCGGGGCAAGGGAACTGTGGCAGGGAGAAAGAACATCACATCAATTGAAAAGCATACCGGACATCAATACACACTAAACAATGATTCCTTGCCAATAAGGTACATTACAGCCGGAGAACCAGCAGTCTGGTAGAACGTTTCCAGTCTATCAAAGCAGCCTCTACATGCCATAACCGTAGGAAGATGAATGTTCTTGAAACAAAAAACAAGACAACCACCTACAGGCACGCACATGCAATCAGATGCCCGCACACTGAGTACCGCGCATCAGGACACTGCTCCACGACACAGGGATACCCTAATCTATCTTTCGAGGCGCCTCAAAACAACTTGTGAGGTGCCTCAGTCAGATCAGAACACGATCCTGATGCTGCAGGGTGTTTTGGAGAATTCTCAAAAACACCCTGTGTGCCTCAGTCAGATCCGACCACGACCCTTGGATGCTCTAATCCATCAGACTGCTTCGTGGGAGGGGTTTCACGCACGCATGCCATTGCAATGCTCCTTGGATTGGAATGGAATTTGAATGGCATTTGCCGTCACTCTGCCTTGACAACTGGCGTGTCCTGCAGGCTACCCCACTCTGTCCACGAGCCGTCATACACGGGCACGTCCCACCGACCCAGTTGAGCCAGAGCCTGCAGCGAGGGAGGGCAGAGACGGAGGAACACGAGTTGCAGAAGGGGGTATAAGGAAGAGAATAGCAGAGTGTGAGGGAAACGATGTACAGGAGGAGCACTACCCCTCTCTGTCCGCGAGCCATCATACACCGGCACGTCCCACCGCCCCAGGCAAGCCAGAGCCTGCAGCAGGGAGAGCAGAGGAAAGAGAAGGATGCAAAAAGTAGAGTGTGAGGAAGAGAGCGTGCAGAGGTAGAAACTCGCCGCTATTCCACTTGACAACTGGGGTGTCCTGCAGGCTACCCCACTCAGTCCAGGAGCCATCATACATACACCTCACATCCCACCGACCCAGGCGAGCCAGAGGCCAGAGTAAGGGAGCAAAGGGACAAGTGAGGGGAAGGGCAGAGTGAGTGGTGCGGAGACGGAGGGGTGAGGAGATGTATTCCAGCGCATGAGTGTGTCGGTGCTGTGATGGTCAGAGGATTCAATTCGCATAGATAGATCGTAATGCACTGCGGTGCACTGCAGTGCGCTGCGGTGCACTGCGGTGCACTGTGGTGCAGCACACGTACCAGAGCTAGCACACATGCAGTGACTCCCGTGCCGCATGAGGCGGCGAGAGGCTGCTTTGGGTCCTCGATGTTGACTCCTGCATGCTTAGACATCACGAGAGGGGCCAGCACAGTAAGATCAACAAAGCAGGTTAAAGGTGGCATGGCAGGGAGGAGGTGGCAGAGCAGGTTGACTTTTGGTCCTTCATGTTGGCTCCTGCAAGGATTAGCACAGAGAGAGGAGGTCAACACAGAAAGATCAACAAGGCAGGTTACAGGTGGTTGGGCGGGCGGAAGGTGGCAGGGCAGGGAGGAGGCTACAGAGGCTGACTGGGGTCCTCGATGTTGGCTCGTGCAAGGATTGGCACAGGGAGAGTTGACTTTTGAGTCGACTCAAAAGTCAGGGAGAGGACGCAAAAACCTATAGATCAACAAGGCAGGGTGGAGGTGGCAGGGCAGAGAGGAGGTGGCAGGTAAATTGGCCAGGAAGGGACGAAAGAGGGTTCCTCAAAGGGATTGGCACAGGAATGGGTTGAGCAGACAGATCAATGCATGGCAGGGAGAGGGTTGCAGGGGGGTTGACGAGAGAGAGAAAGCAGAGAGAGAGAAAGCAGAGAGGACAGAAGTTAGGAGGAGAGGTGTAACACAGAAGGCAGGAGGGATGGGAGAGATCAACAGCTGCAGGGGAAGAAAGTAAAGTGGTGGATGCCATAACGTTTAAGATGCCCCAAAATTTTCGAGATGTTTAAACACTTCCGTGGCGGCAGCACTTGGGACACTTTCCAGTAAGCAGCACTTGCGTAGGAGTAGGTTTAAGCAAGTAGGAAAAAACAGTACGAAACAGTATACTGGAAGTAGGGTTAAGCAAGTGCTGCTCACTGGAAAATGTCCCAAGACGTCTAAACACAAACGCGGCGGCAGCAAGGGACAAGCGAAGAGCTGCAGCACCATCCTGCTTCCCCTCTTCCTTCTCCACAACCAACGAGGTGACTTTAGAGTTAACTCAAAAAGCGACTTTTAAGTCGACTCAAAAAGCACCATCCCGCTTCTCCTCCCCCTTCCCCACAACCAACCAGGCACGTCTGACTTGCCTGCACTCTTGAAGGCTTGGGTGAGGTCTGAGGCACGCTTTAGCTGTCCCTGTGGGGTCAGGACCTGGCGGGCAGTGGGCAATGGGCAGTGGGCAATGGGCAGTGGGCAATGGGCAGTGGGCAATGGGCAGTGGGGGGGGGGAAGAAAGGAGGGCAAGAGAAGTTAGCACTCAGCTAGCCATTGCAAGGCTTGGGTGAGATCTGAGTTAAATTGTAACTGTCTCTGTGGGGTCAACAGTTAAATTGATTCTCTACAAGGAAGTTGCATGAACGCTTATATTGAGAGAATCCTTAAAAGAACGATTCCCGCGATGCTAGAAGTGTGTTCAATGAGAATTGAGGTGAGAATTGAGGAGCCTAAACACTCACGTAAAAGAACGAGGTGAGTTTTGAGTCAACTCAAAAGTCACTTTGACGAGCCTAAACACTCACCTAAAAGAACCACTCCTGCGATGCTAGAAGCGTTCAAGGGAATGCTGACTCGCAATTGGCTGAAATCTACCTCGGGAAATGGCACGTTGAAGCTTCCTGGGATGCTTCCTCCTCGCACTCCTGCCCTTGGCTCAGGGTCTACGCCCTTGAACCTGCTTGCACGCATGCAAAAGAGCAGACATGCATGCACACATGCAAAAGAGCAGACATGCAGGCACACATGCGCAAGGAAAGGCATGCATAACATGAGTCACGCATGCATGCATAGCAATAGATATGCATGCACATGCACGCGAGAGAAGACATACTTGCACATGATACTAGGCACAGAAAAAGTTGTCACCATGCCACCATGCTGCCATGCCATCAGCTGCCAAGCATTCCCACCAAGCTTCCACCCACCGAATTGCATGATGCTTGCACCCCACCCCACCCCACCCCACCCCCACCCAACCCACCCCACCCCATTCCACCACATCACAAATAACCTCACCCCACCACAACACACCTGCCAGCAGAACGGGCATCGCTGAGTTGATACACCTTATTCTCGATATTAGCCTTCACCTGAAGACATGCAAAGGTTAAGAAGAACGTTACCAGAGTCAGGCAGCAGAAGCGCATGAAAGGCCAGCGGAAGCAGAAAACTTTAAAGGATCCCCTGGCTTGAAGCTTAGTGCAGGCCTTATCTGAGCAGGCCTTATCTGAGCAGGCCTTATCTGAGCAGGCCTTATCTGAGCAGGCCTTATCTGAGCAGGCCTTATCTGAGCAGGCCTTAGCTGAGCAGGCCTTATCTGAGCAGGCCTTATCTGAGCAGGCCTTATCTGAGCAGGCCTTATCTGAGCAGGCCTTATCTGAGCAGGCCTTATCTGAGCAGGCCTTAGCTGAGCAGGCCTTATCTGAGCAGGCCTTATCTGAGCAGGCCTTATCTGAGCAGGCCTTATCTGAGCAGGCCTTATCTGAGCAGGCCTTATTTGAGCAGGCCTTATCTGAGCAGGCCTTATCTGAGCAGGCCTTATCTGAGCAGGCCTTATCTGAGCAGGCCTTATCTGAGCAGGCCTTATCTGAGCAGGCCTTATCTGAGCAGGCTTTATCTGAGCAGGCCTTATCTGAGCAGGCCTTATCTGAGCAGGCCTTATCTGAGCAGGCCTTATCTGAGCAGGCCTTATCTGAGCAGGCCTTAGCTGAGCAGGCCTTATCTGAGCAGGCCTTATCTGAGCAGGCCTTACCTGAGCAGGCCTTAGCTGAGCAGGCCTTAGCTGAGCAGGCCTATCTGAGCAGGCCTTATCTGAGCAGGCCTTATCTGAGCAGGCCTTATCTGAGCAGGCCTTATCTGAGCAGGCCTTATCTGAGCAGGCCTTATCTGAGCAGGCCTTATCTGAGCAGGCCTTATCTGAGCAGGCCTTATCTGAGCAGGCCTTATCTGAGCAGGCCTTATCTGAGCAGGCCTTATCTGAGCAGGCCTTATCTGAGCAGGCCTTATCTGAGCAGGCCTTAGCTGAGCAGGCCTTATCTGAGCAGGCCTTATCTGAGCAGGCCTTATCTGAGCAGGCCTTATCTCAGCAGGCCTTATCTGAGCAGGCCTTAGCTGAGCAGGCCTTAGCTGAGCAGGCCTTATCTGAGCAGGCCTTATCTGAGCAGGCCTTATCTGAGCAGGCCTTATCTGAGCAGGCCTTAGCTGAGCAGGCCTTATCTGAGCAGGCCTTATCTGAGCAGGCCTTATCTGAGCAGGCCTTATCTGAGCAGGCCTTATCTGAACAGGCCTTAGCTGAGCAGGCCTTAGCTGAGCAGGCCTTATCTGGGGAAATTACAATCTTATCTGGGACACACACCTGATCAACGGACAGGATGAGGTTGGGCTGCAGCTTGGCGTTGAAAGTGAGCAGGCGGTTGGATGCGGCCTGGATGGTTGGAGAGCGGTGGAGACACAGAGGCAGAGAGAAAGGGACATCAGTGCAGGCAGGGCGGTGCAGAAGCAAGAAATGGATGTCAGTGCTTCAAAGGGGTTTTGATGCGCCTCAAAAGGCAGGGCGGCGCAGAAGCAAGAAATGGACGTCAGTGCTTCAAAGGGGTTTCTGAAATGCCTCAGCTCAGATGGTCACAGAGGAGAGCTGATGCATAAAGGCTCACCAGATGGTCACAGAGGAGAGCTGATGCATAAAGGCTCATCAGATGGTCACAGAGGAGAGCTGATGCATAAAGGCTCATCAGATGGTCACAGAGGAGAGCTGATGCATAAAGGCTCATCAGATGGTCACAGAGGAGAGCTGATGCATAAAGGCTCATCAGATGGTCACAGAGGAGAGCTGATGCATAAAGGCTCATCAGATGGTCACAGAGGAGAGCTGATGCATAAAGGCTCATCAGATGGTCACAGAGGAGAGCTGATGCATAAAGGCTCATCAATGCGGAAAGAGAGACGAATGACAACTAAGCGAAGAGGGAAAACGAAAAGAGAAAAAGGGAGCACCCAGGGCATCTTTGATTGCACACCCAGCCGCTTTATGCCGCCCAGCAGTCCTATCGATCGGCTGTGTGCCCACCGGGTGGGGCCTGCCTGCCGCCCAAACAACCTCGCAGCCGCCCAACCCGATACACACCTTAGTAGAGTAACTGTCCTTGATGGCAGTAGCAGCCGCCTTGTGCCGCCCGGTCGCCTTGTCTGACGGCTCTGCCTCCACTGGGTAGCCTGCCGCCCGCCAGGCTGGCAGCCCGCCGTCCAGCACTGCCACGTGTGGCTGTCCGAATGCACGGAACATCCTGTGTGCGTTGAAACAATGGAAGAGAAGGAAGAGGAGGAAGGGGAGGAAGAAGGGAAGGGACGGGGGCGGGGAAAGAAGAAGCAGCGGCAGATGTGAGCTTTCTGTCATTCTCGCCATCAAGCACTGCCACTTGTGGCTGGCCGAATGCACGGAACATCCTGTGAGTGTTGGGAAGCGGAAAGGGAGGAGCCGGAGAGGGGAAGGGAAGGGCCCGGGACGGGGATGGAGCAAAGGCGAGGTGTCATCACTGCCACGTATGGATGTCCGAATGCACGGAACAATCTGTGTGCGTTGGGAACCAGCAGGGGAAGCAGGGAAAAGTTGAAGTGGGAGGATTGCTAAGAAATTGCGATGTCACACCTACCCAGTTTCGACCAGCTCACACACAGTAGAAGCACCACCAAAATTAAACACAACCACTTGTCACCGCTTTGAACCACTCACCACCACGCTCTGGCGGCGCTGAAGAGTCCCTTGCCATCGTACACCACTATGCTGTCACTAGATGACAAACCCAAAGCTGACGCAGCTGCAGAAAAGGCGGCCTCTGTCGGCAGCATGTGGGGAAGCTGTCACACAATATAGAATATGTGGACGACACGGACGGGGACAAGGGGAATGACTTGAAATAAGGCAAATTCGTGTAGGGCTGGCGGTGGTACGATAGGATTTTATCTGAATGCCGGACGCACTTCAAACATTAAGTTTTTATTTTTTAACTAAGTGACGCACTTACATCTGTGGTGGGGTCAGCAATGGCGTCAATATCAAAGAAGATTGCTCCTGGGATCCTCCCATGCTGCGCAGTGTGCACGTGAGACAGGGAGGGAGAAGGAGAGAGGATGTTTCTTGAGACGTCTCAGCAATGGCATCAACATAAAAGAGGATGGCTCCTGGGATCCTCCCATGCTGCGCTCTCGAGAGAGGGAGGGAGACGAAAAGAGGACGCCACGGGGAACATTTCAATCTAATATTTTGGCATTAAAAAACAGATAGCAGGGCAGCAAGAGAGTGACATATGTCTGTCCGTCCGTCCGTCCGTCCGTCCGTCCGTCCGTCCGTCCGTCCGTCCGTCCGTCTGTCTGTCTGTCTGTCTGTCTGGCCGTCTACTCAAACTCCTGAAACTCAACCGTATTGATTATCCAGAACCATAAACACGTTCTCCCTGTCCATCCAACTACCACACCCTCTTTCTTCCTCTTCCCAGCCCAGCATCCAGAGCGTTACTCACATGTCCACACTCGAAACTCCTCACCAGATATAGACGTATTAGCACAGCAAGACCAGATACTTCTCATGATGCTTTTTGTGACACACAGAACAGAACCAACCAACCAGCGACACTCCTCACCTGAAACTCCTCAAACGGCTGGCGTTTCTCTGCAGGCATGTACCACGAGGCGTCCAGGACCTGATGGTGAGGGGGTTAAAGGGGGAAGTGGGGTTGGGGGAAGGATGTGAAGTGGGGCGTTGAGCACTGAGGTGTGAAACGAGAGGCGTTTCTCCGCAGGCATGTACCACGAGGCGTCCAGGACCTGTGTAGTTTGCGCGATCAGAGGGAAAACTGGGCGAGGAGTGGGGCATTGAGCTTTGACGGGGGAAACAGCATTTTCAGGTAGGCTAAGGCGCTTCTCAGCAGGTAAGTACTACAAGGAGTCGAGCACCTGCTGGGGTTAAGAGTGGGGAAGAGGGCGTGGGGTGGGTAAAGAGGAGGGGAGGGTTGAGACGTGGGGATGGAGCATTGAAGGAGGCGGCATTTCCTTGCAGGCATGTACCACGAGGCGTCGAGCACCTGTTGGGGTTGGGGGTTGAAAAGGAGGAGGGGACAGCATGTGAAGTGGTGCTTTGAGCAGTGGGGGAAGAGCGTTTGAAGGGCATTTTTTTGCAGGCATGCACCACGAGGAGACTAGCAGCTGTTGGCCATTCGAGGGGTTGGTTGGGAAGGGGGAAAGGGAGGGGGACATCACAGCACGCACGCGTGCATGTGCAGCACACGACGCGAACCATTGTGCGCCACTTCACTACATCACATCAAAGAATGTATATTGCACAGGTGCAGCGGTGATAAGGGAATCCGCAGAACGGTAGATGAGAAAGCAGGTGGGTGGTGTGGTAACATCCCGGGGTGGTGCATGGTGTGCTGGGATCACGAGAAGGTGAGTGGTGTGACAGGATTACGAGAAAGTGGGTGGAGTAGCAGGATTACAAGACGATTGGTGATGTGGGTGGCAAGATCATGAAAAGATAAAGACGAAGGTGGGTCCTCATATCCTGCCACACCACCAATGTTTTTGTAATCATAACATTCCACCGACCTTCTCGTAATCCTGCCACTCCACACACCTTCTCGTGATACAGCTGCACCAACACCAACTTGTGATGTTACCACGCCGCACACCACCTCGTGATGCCACACCACCACCTGCCACCTCGTGATGCCACACCACCATCCACCACCTTGTAATGTTACCACACCACCTGCCACCTCGTGATGCTACCACACCACCCACCACCTCGTGATGTTACCACACCACCCACTAGACAGACCTTGACTTTGGAGAGGTTGTCATGCAGCCAGGCAGGGGAGACCACGGGGCTGTTCTCTGGCAGCACTGCTGTTGGGAAGGGGGAGCGACAGAGAGAGGCATCACAGTGGAAACAACACTGGGAGGATGAGTGCGAGGGTGAGAGCCAATGTGAGTGCGTGTGACAGCCAGGCAGGAGAGACCACGCGGCTGTTTTCTGGCAGCACAGATATTGGAAAAAGGGGGGTGGCAAACAGAGAGAGGCATCCCAACGGAAGCAGCACTGTGAGGATCAGTGCAAGGGGGTGAGTGCCACTGTGAGCGCGTGTGACAGCCACGCAGGGGAGACCACGAGGCTGCTATATGGCAGCACTGCTGTTGGGAAAGGGGGAGCGACAGAGAGAGGCATCACAGTAGAAGCAGCACTGCGAGGATGAGTGCGAGGCTGATAGCCGATGTGTGTGTGTGTGTGAAAGGCAGGCACGGGAGACCACGGGGCTGTTCTCAGGCAGCACAGCTGTTGCGACGGGGTGTAGCAGCAGAGAGAGGCATTACAAAAGAAGTAGCATTTGAGGCTGAGTGTCCGGGTGAGGGCCAATGTGAGTGTGTGTGAGAGTAAAGGTGAGTTTCTTGGTGTGAGTGCGAGCACAAGCGGGAGTGAGAATGCCTGAGCGAGCGGGACCACGCAGCTGTTCTCAACCAGCACAGCTGGAAGGAAACACAGTAGCGACAGAAACAGAGGAGGAACGAAACTGGGAGTGTGAGTGTGATAGTTGAGTAAGACCGTGTGTATGACTGAGTGTAAGTTTACATGAATGTGAGTGTGACCAAGTGCAACCGTGGGTGTGAATAAGAGTGACTATGTATGAGTGTGACTGTGCATGAGTGTGCAACGAGGCAGAGCTCCGTCAGCACTCCTTCAAGGGAGGCAGAGACAGAGACGAATCACACTGGGATAGCCAGTGTCTATGTGTGCGAGCGAGTGAAAATGAGTGCGACTTGTGAGAATAAACGAACAGGGATGAAAATGACTAAGGAAAGATGGGTACAAATACAACCCTAGAAACCCTGTACCCCATATGTGCTACCCCACTATAGCCTACAACAACTATGTCATATAAATCTGACACACCCCCATAGGCAAAGTGGGGGAGAACAAGGGGTCACAAGACCAGTCAAGCAAAGCAAAGCAAGCTCAGGGTGGATCACAAAGTCACCACACAGTCCGAGCACAAGAGTAGGGCCAGAGGCCAGTTCACATGCAGGAGTACAGACATATATATAAAACTAGACAAACAAGAGCAGGCATTTATATATGTCTCAGTACAAGTGAAGTCAAGAGGAGAGCAAGTGAGGCAAGACAGGCACAAGACCCAGCTGGGTGCAAAAGCGCTGATGGTCACAAGGCGCGAGTGCCTTGGTGAACACATCAGCAGTGTTGGCCTCAGAGGCCACGTACGCAAGTCGCAACTGACCACGCTGCTGCAGCTCACGAGCAAGGAAGTAGCGGAGAGCAATGTGCTTCGTTCTGTGCTCCAAGCGCTGCTCTCGACACAAGGCCAGCATAGCCTTGTTGTCTACGTACAGCACTGGAGGAGAACGAGGCGGCTCTCCAAGGTCAGTCAGCAGGTAGGTGAGCCAGCGAAGCTCCTGTGCAGCCATGGCCCCGGCGTAGATCTCAGCCTCACAACTGGAGCCGAGAACCGAAGACGAGCGAGTAGACCGCCACGAGACAGAGCCGGAACCAAGGCTGAAGGTGTAACCCTGTGACGACCGCTGCGTAGCCTGGTCGTCAGCCCAAGAAGCGTCCGCGTGGCCGGTAAGGACCACTGGACTCCGCCCTCCAAGCACTAGCCCCATGCCCGACGTGCTGCACAGGTAGCGCAATACCCTCTTCGCTGCAGCCATGTGCTCCGGTCTGTGTCTCCCAGGAGCAACATAGCGTGCAAGAATGCTCAGAGGGTATGCAAGGTCAGGTCGTGTGCAGGTCATCAGGTACATGAGGCAGCCAACAAGCTCTGCATACGGACCACTCGACTCTACGGACTCATCCGAAGGCAGAGCTGAGAGTGAGTGGCGAGTAGGTAGAGGAGTGGCCTGAGGCGAGGAGTACGTGAAGCCGAAGCGCTGAAGGACCTGCTGCACCATGTGTGACTGAGTCAAGGTAATGGTGCGGCGTGCTCTGTCCCGAGTGATCTGCAAGCCAAGGTAGCTGCGCAGTTCACCCAGGTCTGTGCACGTGTGTCTCTTCAGCAGCTCGGACTTCACGTAGGCGAGTCCAGCAGTGTCCGCTGTGGCAAAGACCAAGTCGTCGACGTACACGAGGATGTAGAACGGCGGCAGCGAGGTGTCGGTGCGCAGAAACAGCGACGGGTCAGCAGTAGAAGGAGCAAACCCAAGAGCCGCAAGCGTAGTCCTCAGTGTGTCGTGCCACTCACGCGGTGCCTGGCGGAGACCGTAGACTGGCCGTCTGAGGCTCCACTGGAAGCCAGGAGGGAAAGTCCCAGTGAAGCCAGGTGGACGGCGCAGCCAGATCTCCTCGTGCAGGCTACCCTGCAGGAACGCAGTGCTGAAGTCAAGAGAGTGAAGCTCGTAGTCGCGCTGAGCGGCTATGTGCAGCAGCACCCGAAGAGTGGTCATCTTTGGGGTGGGAGAGAAGGTCTGAAAGTAGTCAACTCCCTGCCGCTGACTGAAGCCACGAGCAACGTACCGCGCCTTGAAGACAGGTGGAGAGCCCGGCGGCCGCTTCACCCTGAAGATCCACATGCCACTGACGATGTTCGCCCCAGGAGGGGGAACTGCGTCAACGTAGGTGCCTGTGGACTTCCAGGAAGCCATCTCTGCATCCATAGCTGCCTGCCACTGAGAGGAGTAGGGACCCTCTACGGCCTCCGCGTAAGAACGCGGAGTCGGGATGTCTAATGCATCCGGGTCTCCCTCAGGGGCAAGTAGTACAGACGCGAGATGAGGTGAAGCAGCCGCTAGACACTGTAACTCCTCCTGTCTGTCCTCTAGGACGTCCGTGCCAAGAGCACACTCACCCCCGACGGACGGAGGACAGACAGACGCAGACTCAGCAACAAGACCAGCAGCGTAGTCGAGACGACAGCGAGCAGCAAAGTCAACGAGCTCAGCGACTAGAGCAGACGCAGCAGTGGACTCAAAAGAGGGGTCAGTGACGACAGTAGCAAGCAGACGCGTGACAGTAGGACTGGCAGCGCGAAGAGAGTCTGACTCAGGGTCGGCAAGCGCAGGAAGAGAGGACTCAGGAGGAGAAGGCAGAGGGGCACGCAGAGGAGCAGTGGACGGACGCAGAGACATCCGGTGCGTGCCAGGGACAGGAGGAGGACGCTGACGCGAACCGCGACCACTAGCGCGAGCAGCACGAACAGGCGACGCGGGACGAGACGCAGGCTCACGACGCTCAGCAAGACCTCCAGTAGGACCAGTGTAAGGAGAGGGAGCAGGCAGAGGAGATGAAGGCTCCAACAGTGACTGCGACTGGACAGGCTGTGGACACTCTACCGAAGGAGAAAGACCAAGAACCTGCTGTAGGAGCGGAACGAAGTACGGCCGAGGCCGCGCGGCAGCTCCAGACTCAGCAGGGACAGCACCAGCACCCTCAGCGACAGCACCAGCGCCACCCACACCTCCAGCGGCAGGACCAACAGCAGTAGGCTCAGCACCAACGCCCTCAGCACCTCCAGCTGCAGGAGGACCCTCAGGTCCAGCAGCTCCGGGACCGGCAGCACCCGCACCCTCGACGGTCGAAGAAGCTCCAGCTCCAGCTCCAGCAGCACCTCCAGACTCAGCAGCACGCCTCCAGCGGCGAGCGTACCACTCGCGCAGCTCCTGTGGAGAGAGGGGCTCCCGGCGAGACGCAGCAGCAGGAGAAACCCCAGGCTCAGCAGCTCCAGACGCAGCAGGGACAGCACCAGCACCCTCAGCGACAGCACCAGCGCCACCCACACCTCCAGCGGCAGGACCAACAGCACTAGGCTCAGCACCAACGCCCTCAGCACCTCCAGCTCCAGGAGGACCCGCAGGTCCAGCAGCTCCAGGACCGGCAGCACCCGCACCCTCGACGGTCGAAGAAGCTCCAGCTCCAGCTCCAGCAGCACCTCTTGACTCAGCAGCACGCCTGCAGCGGCGAGCGTACCACTCGCGCAGCTCCTGTGGAGAGAGGGGCTCCCGGCGAGACGCAGCAGCAGGAGAAACCCCAGGTTCAGCAGCTCCAGACGCAGCACCCCCAGGCTCAGCAGCTCCCAGCTCAGCACCCCCAGGCTCAGCAGCTCCCGACCCAGCACCCCCAGACCCAGTACCTCCAGGCACAGCACCCCCCGGCTCAGCACCCCCAGGCTCCGCACCCACCGCAGTAGCACCCTCAGGCCCAGCACCCCCAGCAGTAGCACCCCCAGGCTCAGCACCCCCGCGCACAGTACCCCCAGAGTCAGCACCCCCAGGCTCAGCACCCGCAGCAGC